GTAATCGTAAACAGGTCCGGAGGAAATGGAAATGTTAGACATAAAATTCAGATTTTTCCTGACAGTATCAAACAGTAGACAGTGTCATCGAAATAATATTGAAACAGTTATGCTTTTCCATATATTTATCGTTGTTATTTAAGAAGAAGCAATTACTTTGAGTCTGTTTGTCACATTTCTATTTATCGTTGCATACTCCTGTAAATTAGGAGATTTCTATGACTTAGGCCACTTTCTTAAACTATATATATTTTCACTATTGGTAATGTTACTAAGCTAAACGTGTTTACTCAGACACATAAAATTTCTTGAGCGTGCAGACAAAGCCATCTGAAAATTCTCATAACTGCATATTAAATGAGTTTAGTTGTTAGAGTACAAAGTGAAACAGTATTATTAACTGAATGATGTTTCAAACTCAGTTTATTTCTTAAGATAATGCCTGAATATGATAGTCCTATATTAGGTGAGTTAGTTCAAAGAAGTCATATGGTGGATATGAAGAAGTCATTTCCCATTATTTCCCGGGTTTCCATCAACCTGTCGAAAGTAACTAGACTCTGATTCCCCAGACTGCAGAGGCAGTAGCAGTTCTGATGAGACAACCTGAATAATTTGGTCAGAAGAACAGATGTTGCTGCCGCAACTGCCTTGGAATGTTATGAGATAAACTTGTTTGTCAACTTCCGCAGTGTACATTTCTCCATCTATATAATCTGAAGCAATTTTGTCACATCTTAGCCTCAGATACGCACATTTTACTCAAGCTAGTATTCCTAAATTATAAGATAATCTGAATGGTGGTTACTAGCAGTGGAATCCAGGATGCTCGTTCTGTTGTATTTCGAACTGCTTCCCAGTGAATGATGGTGTTCGCACTGAAACTCAAAGCCGGTATACGCCACTTCAAACGGTAAAATGTTATTCACTAGGCTTCTGACTCATGATATGATAATCAAAGAAAATGCACAAGTTTACATAACCTTATTTTCAGATGGACATTCACATACAAATATCTATGAACAAAGCTCTAAACTTTGTTTCTCCTATATAACCCCATTTATTCTGTAGCCACATGAATTCTTTGCGCACTAAGTTCAGAAACAAACTGTATAGAATTCACTCCAACTTATCATTGTATGTCAATGTTCATTAAAAATGTAATAAATTGATTTATTCCATGATGCACAAACGTACCGTGGATATAGTTCACTATTAAACTTCAATCATTCAAGGGTATAGGGATATGAGCAAACAGCCGTATAAGTTGTGAACTTTGAAACTGATGTACATTTCCACTTACCCGTATAATCTCGAAATTTATGAAATTTTTTCATCTTCGTCCACATGAATTTTTATTGTTGCCTTATTGTCTTACTAGACGAAAATTCTATTGACTACTAAAACGAATTACTGAGTTTCGTTATTTTATGAAAGTACTGGCTTTCTAGCCGAAAAGAAGAAAATAGGTGGTTATTTCAGTAGTTGTTAGGAGGGCTTTTACAGAAACTCATTTCTGTTTATCCGTTTCTGCATTCACATGGACACCAATATTGTGGGTATTTATTAGTTTCAAGTTAGTTTATGTTAGTTTACAACTGACATAAACACAAGAACCAATGAAAACTTGGCCAAGTGGACAAGTTTTACAGAGGTAGGAAAAGTAGTCTATTAGTTTCTGACCCAGTGGGTGAATGGTAGCTCAACGCAGTCCAGGTTTTCTCAAATTTGTTTGTCATCTCCCGTTTCATACTTTTCTGACTTGCTTTCGAATTTCTCAATTTAGCATATTGTAATAGTCAACCCATAGTTGTACAAGATTTTCAGACTACTTATTTCAAACAGAAAAGTTTAACAAATTCATTAAATTATGTATCATCATAGCTGCAATCTGCAGTTAACATTTCAAAGGTACCCACACTTTGTTTCAGCAGGGTGTGAAAATTATTGAAAAGTCACTAGTGATTAGGCATTTCTAGCTTCAGCCTATCTTTCGCGTCTAGTCAGCCGATGAATCCCTTCAATTCTTACAGATAAAATAATCATGAACTCTGACTAAGGTTGTCAGTTTTCCAAATTGGGTTTCAGGTAATAAGAAAACAATGTAGCGACATCCGTTGCAAAGTCTTTGCATAATCCATTGTTCTTGTCTACATCAAATAGATTCATTTTCGAATGCAACATACTATTTCAGTGGAGACTTAGGTAGTTAAATATACATTTCATGTACACTGAATCAACTTTTCGCGTTAATCTACCACACACTATGTAATTTAGATAAAATAAATTATTTTGAAAGAAATAAATAGATGCTATTTTGTAAGTGGCTTGATGTATTTTATTTTTGAAATGTTCAAGGAGCCTGGGAAATTTTTTCCTATATGTCAAATGTAACATTTATGCAAAGTTATATCGTATATTGGACTGCTTTTGATGTGTTATTCTAAATGAGGACCTACTGCTGAATTTACAGAATTTGTGCAGTGACCTCGCTTTAAAAAAACAAACTTATAAATTTTTTCATTTTAAGAAGTTTAAATAATCAGGTTTTATCAACTTCAACAGATGTACAGAAATGCAGCATGAATCTTTATGAGATATCAATTTCTTTCAGACTGAAGACTAGATTTAACCTTGAACTGCATGCTTATTGCTTGCAAATATCTAGTCTAAATTTATACTTTATCGATGTCCTTAAATGAATTTAGCCTTAGCAACTAATAGCTGTGTATTGTTTCAATTCTTTTTCTAGCTAAGTGGAAACGACTTAAAATATCAAAGAACGTCTACGCTTTTGCCTCCTTATTCCAGATGAATCATTGAACATTTTTTTTTTGTTTAGATCATAATCTTGATGTTACCCACGGGCATGAAATCACTTATTCCTTCAAGAAATCCTAGAACCATGATCTTTCTTTCAATTAGTCAATCTATCTTGTTTAGTGCTTTGTACTAAACTTGTCATTTCGAAATATGTGAATAAGTAATTCAAAATCATTGAGTTAACTTCTCATATGAAATGATTTATCCTTAAGAAAAGTGCTGTGGCGAAGCGTCTATTGTTGTTAATATATATATATATATATATATATATATATATATATATATATATATATATATATATATATGAATATTTCATATGATTATGAAGAATCAGACAGTAACCAGTTTCAAAATTTGGATCTCGATGCTGAATGACACATATATGTTGAAACCTTTGTCAATATTGTGCACTGTGCTAGGTGACACGAAGGAACATATTTTCATTCTGCTAAGGTTTATGGGCTTAAACCTTCACCAGAAAACCATTAGGCTGAATACTATACACAAAAAGCACTTATAGTGACATTACAACCGTTTGAGTGGAAATGGAAGCGATTTCTGTAATAGTTGCATACAGTTATTTCCTTGATATATTTTTATAGAGCTCAAGCAGCTAACATTATGAACTAAAGTGAATTCATATTTTCCCACATGCCGTCAACCTTCCACGTGGTCACTTGTTTTAAAATTTTTTGCATTTCTAAAATATAGTATACCAGAATCAAGTATGATGTATTTCACTTCAAAGCAAAAGTAGAAATCATAACAAAGTCTTTCAGTAAGTACTTAATTCCAAAAAGCAAAAAGATGGCATGAATCTTAAATTATATGAAAATTTGAAACTCCAGGAACATATGTAAATTGTTATCAGTTAATAGAACTGACTAAGGGACAGAAGCATAGAAGTGTAGTAGTATCACCAAGGGAATGTAGTCATGACAAGATGATAATTAGAATGGTGATGAAAAATCGAGGTCATATTGATATGAAGACCTGAAGGAAACTATGATTCGATAGTACTTACACTCGGGAAGAATACAGTAATAATGATATCAGTAAGCGTTAATAAACTCAACAACTAAAGATGATGAGAACACATCAAATGTTCATAAAGAGTATAATGACCGGTAACAAAGAGGAATGGTGAAAATTTTAATGGAGTAGAACCAAACCACCAAGGCGGTACAAAGTTAACTTGAAGTTTCCTTTAAAAATACGGATCAGATCTCAAGTGAATGATGTCTAGCTCTTTTGCAGAAAGCAATAATCTATTTTTATTGCTTGATAACTATACAAAAGACTACACTTAGACTGGTTGAATGACCCATGTCCATGTGATGGCGATCTCTAGCACTACTACTCAGTCTTGAACTACTTAGTAACTGATGTTTTGGCAAATTAATAGGAGTCCTTGGAGTAAGGACCTTTTATGTTCTGCAACCGTATTTACGACAACAGATGAGTAAATCGATAGAAATGAAAGCATAGTTTTTAAACCTGTTTATTATGTTGTGGATGATTAGTAATTTCGTAGCGAGATTAGTCAGTAATATAAAACCGCACAAACGGCGAGTATTTCATAGGTTCCAGTGATTCTCTTTTCACAACGGTGACTTCAGTTGACATATAATCATTAATTATATTTCATATACTTGTTGATGAAGTATTTTTTATACATAAAGGTTCTTCTGTTGTCTTACAGTTCAATTTCATTTAGTTCTGGAGAAAATTATCAATTCATCATTTGATAAAACTTATTGAAACAGTGCGTCCGAACTATTGAAATCCAAGTTTATATGAAAGACTTAAAGCATATCAAGTACCATAAATTCACTTCATCTCACAAAAGTTGCAGTCTTTCACTTAGGGAAAATCCAATTGATTAGTTATATAAATATACACCGTTTCAATCAGCATAAGCAGTTGTCAGTGATTTCACGTATAATGATGAGGAAATTTAAGGAAAACATTCATCACATGAAAAAGAAAGAATAAGCGTAAAGCAGTAGCAGGGTTAGAACAGTTCATTTTTTAATTTTAGTGAAAAGGGTATCTTTGTTCAAGCAGAAGAAAGATCCTACCTTTCGTTGCATAGACTATCTGAAGTATACTACGTCCACTATTAGTTGTTTCCAAATTCCTTACTATAACTGCTTTTCTTTTGCATTTATACGCAGCCTCAAAGAATACAGGCCAGTATTAAAACTTATGAAGCTCTCTCACCATATGGTGTTTACGATCTAGCAGAAAAAGGAGTAGTTGAATTAAAGGTAGGTGAAAAAAGTGGATTATTAAAAGTTACTGTTGTTTAACGGTATTTTAAAGCTAAGATTTGAGTCATGACTCGACAATATACTTTTGGTATGAGCACATTAACTTGCTTGATACCCAATATTCATTTGATCTGATAAGCAAAAGGATAGCAGAATTTTCATGCTAAAATTCAGTAAGATCTTATGTAATTTCCTCCCTAAATAAATTTACATAGAGAGGGAACAAGAGTTGTGGCAGTAAAGCATGGATCCCATTGACTACTAAGGACAAAAGAAAATTTTAATATCAAACTATGCAAATTGTCTAGTTGAAGACAAATTATTGAGTGAATAAATATATAAGAACTAATTACAAGTTTGCATATATCTAGAAAGATTCAACGAATATTCTAGAGAAGAAGTTAAACAAATGTGTTTTATATATTTAGAAAGGTTACGTAAAAGGAATTTGAAAGTGGTCAGAGAAGCTGCACCAGCTAAGAAAATAAGATGAATATTATTCAGGCAATATTGTGTAGAGTATGGTGATGACAGTTAAAACGTCATGGTTATGAAACCACACAAAACTTTACTACCATAGGAAGGACAGATTGAAAACTGTTTCTTTTCTGAATACAAAAGATCGGTTTTATTTGCGCTTAATAGCTACCACTTCAGAAAAACACCATAAATTGGAGGTAGTATTCATTATTTATATTTTAAATTCGTGTTTATCTGTTTATTAGTTGTTTTAAATGAAGTTTCCAAGAGAGATTTGTTGACAGAGAGAAGTCAGTGGGTTTGAGGCAATTAAGGATTTGAATTTAAATTGACCTATAAAAGAATATTGAGGGTTGATGGCTACCTCCCTTTCAACATCCAGATCTAGATATGAACTTCTTATCCCTGCAAAATATAGTTTGTTATTATGCAGTTTTTGTTGACAATCTTTTAAAGAAATATTCCGAAATTTGTCCAGCAGTTTATCATTGTATTCCGTACTTTTCAGATGATGGGGATTTAGTTATTACCTTATTTGACAAGTAACTTTGTTTGATTTTACTACTCTGGTAACATAAGTTGAAAGTCTGTTTGATATCTGTTGTTGCTCCAACTATTTTATCTTGCATAACGGGAGGCCTTAAACTGACGGTAGTGTGACCTCGAAGGTAGTTCTTATTTTATAGTCCAGTTTGTTTCTTTCTCCACTGTAATACCGTTCTCATCTTACATTTGATTACCAAAGCACATATGCAACTATTCAAATATACAATGTTGCAAGTAATCAGACCAGAAATATGAAGTTTATGCGTTAACTGTGCGACAAGTGAAATAGAAAACGATTACCAACAAGTTAATACAGCAATCAGTGACATAAAACTTACAAAAGCGGTTGGAGTTAAAAGGAAATCGGGTTGCTCAAATGGAATATAGTAGTATGTATGTACACATTCGTCGAAAATAAGATCACAAACCCTTTTTGAAGAGAAAGTAACAACCTAATATTATATAAGAAAATCTGGAGAGCAACATCATCTACGTGAGCAAAAGCCTATTGCATTAAACTAATTGGAAGGAACGGTTACTCACAGAACGTCATCAAGAAATGTATTTTCGAATATCTAACATCTCGATAACCACCCTGAATAAATAATCATTTTTCATGTACCAAAAGTATTTCAGAAATAATAAGTATCTGACATGATCACAACCTTAAAATAGATTTTTGATGCATCCTTTGTAACAAGAAAGATATAATAACGGATGCAGGAAAGCCAGATTTAATCTGTAAGGTCTACAATAATTATTGGATTGGAGAATGTGTATAAAGAATCGGCCACTGTTTCTACGAAAATCAGATATCAATGTCATCACTTATATAAAACCCCATATCTTACTTCATATAAATTAACATGGTTCGTTGAATGGTGGGTTTCTACTTCTTTCGAAAAAACCTGTTACTCAGTATCTAGATGAGAACATCCGTGCTGTTCTTTCCAAACTAACTGAATATTGATGGATACCTGTAATTGTCCAGCGTTGAACAGAAGGCATGTTGTTAAATGGTTACTCAGCTTAACGGGTGCATTGCAACTCAAAAGATTTTCATTGGTTCCAGTGATTAAGAGGTTACTTCGAACTCCATCTCCAAACCATTTGAAGCATACAATTTAAATCCCACAAATCGTCGATGGTACCCTATTAACTAAAATTTAACACTATAAATTCTGGTCACCGTAATATGACAAGACTCAATGCCATCTTGTGAATAAGGTCATCCAGAATAGTCTGCCTGGTCAAGGTGTTTTGAAAATTTTAGCAAACGCTTAAGAGACGTCTTCTTTTGCCATAGCCTTACTTGTTTTATCAATAAATGATTTCATTGCTTTTGTTGTTCGGATGTGAAATTTCTCCTTCCAACATTATTCGCAAAAATTTATTTATTCAAGGATGGCGGTACAATATTAACTTACTGGTTAAATGGAAGACGTGATCCTTCAGACTGTGAAAAAACGGCCAAATTTTTAAAGGAACTAGATGTTGAACGAGAAAAAATAGCTGATTCTAATTTGGCATCTTCACAGCAACGCACTGGTGAAAGTTGGGAGTCAGTAACAGCTAGCCGTTGTAGTTCAGCTAGAACATTAGCTTCAAAACGAAGTTCATTCTCTTTATCACAACGTGGAAGTCTAGCGGATCCAGGTCTTGATACGAAAGCAATGGCAAGAATTAGAAGTTTAGCACATGGTAGTGAAAATAATAAGCGACCTAGTATTGCAAGGTAGATTATTCAAAAAGATGATAACCAATATGAATGAAACTTTTCGAGAAAATAAAGCAAACATTTATCTCTACTATTATTTACTTCAATCAAATTTTAATTATTGAACCACAATTATTAACACTACTAACTTGATCCATATGATAAAGATAATATTTAATCAGATGGATATTCTAATAGATTGGTTGATTCTATGTATTTAATTCAATGATAATGAAAACTTCTGTTATTGTTTCTAATGTAACAAGTGTTCAGAAACTAACGGTACAATATACGGATATTCACACTGACTTTATATTCACTAATAGGATACTTCGGTGATTTGTATGAAAGGAGTGAAGAATTCCATAACCTGAGATCAATAACATCCGAACTTATGGTAACTATTGTAATCGAACCTAGAACTACAAATATCCCTGAATCCAAAAATGTGGATGACTTCAAATGGTCATATGGTATAATCCCTTAGGAACAATTAAGTGTTTGCATGACTTATGACTTGTTAAAATGGCAGTGAGTTATTCTCATATATGTCAGTGAAAGTGAGGGATTTGTGTTTGACTAATCATCAGCTGGTGTAAAATAGCACATCCGTTGAATAAAAGTATTCATAAACAACATGACAAGCTTAAGCGATGGCCTGTTGGGTAATAAAGTACTTACTGTTTGTGGAATTTAGTGTGTTTGGAGCACATATTTATAGAGGATACCTGTATATAGTTGGTAAATGATGTCTAAAGTACTAATGTTAGTCCACTGGTCAAGGTCGCATTTATGCTTTGATGATAAGCTCCAACAATAAAAAACATGCATTTCGACTAACATTTATTATGTGGTAGGAAGTGATTATCATTCATTTGACCTTTTTCCAAAGGGATTTTCATTGCATTTCAATATCAGCTAGAGAATGACTAACAACCTTAGAGGAGTGAACAACTATTCCATCCTGTTCTAGGGTTGCTGTATAGTGTGTTCGCCCAACCCTTTAGAACAGGAGGACGCTTTATTATTGAACACAGAAATGAGTCGGTGATTTGTTGCATTTATATAATACCTGACGCGAAAAACTCGTGTGATATCCAGAGAGAATACCAAGTAAGTCTCTCAAATGAAAGGTATATTAGGAGTTATTGGGCCAAAATGGAGGTTGGTTTACGTGCGGCGTAAAGTAACACAGTGATAAAGTGAATATCATACACACTTGACGATGTATCTTCAACTAAATCAGTTCGCCAAAACTATGAAGGTCAACATTTAGGCTGAATATCATTGAACTGTTGGACATTGGCTTTAAGATTCTACTTACCATTGGAATACTAAATATGAATGAAGCCAAGACGTTTGGATCTTGTGATAATCAGGTCATCCATGAGATATGAGTTTCATAGTCCACATTTCTCACTTTTAGTCATCTTGGAGTTCATACGTTGGCATCTGTTCTCAGTCTCAAACACAAAAAATAGGAACTCAAAATACATACTCTTGGTTTGTTTTCTCGAGTAAATAAACGTTCATTACAATAAAATGTTTTTGATAATTCCATTGTTTAACTTTTATAGCATACACAGATATTTTAGAAAGTATATTGGTAAACGTATAATTACTGAAGTTTTACTGCCCTTTGTCCTAATTCATACCTTGATGAAATTACAAAAAGCTTGGAAGGATTATTATTCACTCTGGCTCTAAGTAAAGATTAAATATACCAGGATTTTTTTCGACGTTATTTTATTTGGAACCCAAAACAGCTTATTTCTGACAATGCACATCACTGACTTACGAAGACACAATAGTATTGAATGCGATAAAAGATCCAGTTATTCAATCAAATTGAAACAAACCTTGAAAATACACGCAACTACTGATTAGCAATCCATAATTAGTTTGTAGACTGTTAGATAGGACGGTAGCATTAGAAAATAAATGTGCATGTGCATTTTACGTTGGTATGTTTATATATGAATTCATTTAGGTGTCCGAAATTTGAATAGGGCACTTGGTTACCTAATTATTTTGACAGATGTTATATTATCCACAAGATCATGAATAAAAAGAAAATCTGGACAGAATCCATATGAGTTTGGTTGTTAGTTACATTATTCTTATTTATTGATGCATCAACCCTTCCGAATAGTTTAGTCGCATAGAATATCACTCTTCTTTTCACCAAAGATAGATATTGTTTATTTCTTGATTACTAACTTAGGACGATAAAGACATCACTAAGTCGCTCGTCTCCTGATTATCACAAGAGAACGGCGGAGTCAAATGCAATTGCACTTACCTGTTTATATGTACGTGTGGTGACATATACATACATAGAATCCATCGACCTATGCAAGTAAGGGCCACAGAGCACATTCCAAAATGGCTGCAACAACAAATCAAATCGACTGATCTCACTGACGCAGATGATAGATGTCCAACTTTGTCTACAGATAATCATATCATTTAAACGGGTCACAAGTTCGACTTGCATGCATCTCTCAAACCTATTTATAAAACTTATTTGTGAGTATATAGTTGGGTTTTTTGAAGCTCTAGCTATAGGGCAGTTTCAACCTCTTTTATGTATTAAAAGACAATTCGTTTTTACATTAAGCCTGTGATGAAATCTGAGCTTTAATATAAGGGTGATTAAAATACCGCCTTTCTCTCCCCGTATAAACTAACAGTTAAGCCTTGTATACCATTGATTCTTTCTGGGACCCATTTATTCTTCGTAGTAATTCGTATACATCTGTTTGACAAGCAATTGCTCAATGAGATTGCTCGAAGTGTATTGTGCTAATACGCCACATGTTTCAGATAAACGTCTTTCTATTGTTTTGTCGAAATTTTTTCAAGGGGACTAGCTGTTTCAAGTTTCGGAAATAATAAAAAGGTCAATTGGAAAACTTGAAAAACTCAAACATCAAACAATACAATTTTCAGACAATGCATTCGAAATCTAGGAACATATTTGCCAGTAATGAATAAAGCAAAAAGTAAAAACAATCTTGTTTCATGGTTCTAAGTCCTATACAGATAGTCTGAAACTACAATGAATTATTTAAAGTAATAAAGGAGACATGATGTTGAAAGTATTTCAAATTCACATTTCTGATGCAGTAAGTCACAAGTGAGGTGTGTTTAACAAGAGCACTATGAAACAGCTAGTAAACTATGCTCCTCAGAAAATCTGGAGAAAGGATATAGCATAATTAAAAGGTACCTCTAAGCTAATCCGAAAAGTTTATAGAAAAGTGTGGAGGCAAGCAACGTATGTAAATGGTTTATCTCAAAAATTTAGTCCTTAAAAATTCTTAGAAACTATTAATACTAAACCAGTCTTATGTTGTAAGCGTAAATACGTTTTCGTACTAGGGGTTTCCGTAATTATTTCCATTGGTCTTCAGGATGTCTACTTTATTCTCTTTTGTTGTGTAGTCACGAATCTACGGACTTATAGCTCTAGCGGAGTATTTCACAGGCTTATTACCTTCTTAGAACCTATTATTTTCCATCTAGATGCTTTTCAGTTGTCTGACTTGTTTACTCGATCTCATTCCTAACGACTATGTGACCCGGTTGTATACAAAAACCAAGTAAACCACTGAAATATATATTAATGACATCATCAACGGTTGAAGTTCTCTTTCTGCTTACATCAAAATCAGTCCGCGAGGGAAGATAGCAAGGCTCTCAACTTCTTTTCTACCCACAGTCGAATGGTTATTCCTTAACACACTAAGCATTAGAAATGTGTACAGGTTAATACTTTACTGATGCATGTAAATACACGAAAGTAGAAGTATGATGTAAACTTCAAAGGTAGTTTTTCCATTGGGTTCTATGAATTAAGAACGGTTGGAGATAATAATATTTGCTGGTGGTACACTGTAGTCACCGCGTTTAATTAATATATTCGCCCTGTACGAGGAAAAAACTACACAATAATAAGACAAAATGTTTATTAAAATCATACATAAAAAACAGAGAGAAAAAGAAACAAGATTTAATGGGAAGTTAGATAAAATGCTAAATTATAACATTCTATGCAAGTTAACACACTGTATAAATACACGGAAGACATGTAAAACTGTATCGAAGAGTAAGCAGATGAGAAAAACATGACCGACTCGTAGTGCGTGAAGTAAAACTTTAAAGATACATTTAAACTCACAAGTAAACTAATTGATTGAAATTCATTCGCTTGAGTATAAATCAAGCAAAACAACAGTGAAGTTCCGATACAAGCTGATATAAAAACGATCAAGATGAAAAAATAAGAAAAGAATGCACGAAAATGGAAGGTAGGACATTGCTTTAACTACTTGTGTATGTCACAAATCGAATTTATGCAAAACACTTTTCATCTTCTTTGATAAGAAATAAAAGAGAAGAGAAATGACAAAATAATCTTCCGGGGTGTAAAAAATTTCATAGTTTTGTTCAAGGTAACAATGAAGGAAGAAACTAGCAATGAAGTTGGCGTTAGATTGAACATATTTCGAGATTAGTGACAGTAATAATGGCACTATTATTTACTCAGGATTGGATGAAATAAGGCACATTTTAGCTATGAAAGTTAGGTAACTGGTGTGATAAGTAATATATTACTAATAATAGAGCCAGAAAATTATCTTGTTGGTTGATTGATTTTTTTCTGCACTGAACGGATATTAGGAGTGGAGAATAAAAATAATATTCATTCGATGTGTGTATGTGTGCATGTTGACAACCAGCCCATTAGCCAAGTAAATTAAGTTAAACAGACGTAGGTTACGATCTTTTTCAGTAGCCGAACAAAACACCATACATAAATACACAATAAATAACCTTGTTTAAACAAGAAGAAGTAATCATTTTAAGAAATCCTCAGCTGATGAATAGCCGGACATAAAAGTATTAGAGTGGAAAACATCAAAGTCAGGGAGTTAGTGGGCTAATAGCTAAAATAATTAAACAATTTTCAACAGAATTTAACTTTGAACAAAGCTCATTAAAAAAAGATAAGGAAAAAAATGAGAGAAAACACAGCTAGTTGTGCAACACACTACATATGCGTACATGAACAGAAGAGAAAATGTTATCCAGTAAATCACCATCCACCTATCGCTTAGCTAATCGATATTCTAGTAAGGTACCATAATTACCATCCAGATTGTCATATTTTGCACACAATGCCAACTGGTTTTCGATACCCCAATAAGATTTCAAACAAACTTGGCCTTCCCAACGATCACCAACTTTCGTCAAATGTGTCCAATCTTCACCAACTACAACCGCAACTGCATGGGCAGATGGTACGCTAACACGAAAAGGTAAAGTGTCAGCGGTTGGTTGATTCGATCCACTAGGATATAGTATACCATCTAAAGGTGTGTGCAGATAACAACCTTCTTTCCATTGCGCAAATTGTTGTGGAAAACACATAACTTGCCCATTTCTTCCACGATTAACTTGAGTTGCTTCAAGAAGATAATTGAAGACTCCAGGTAGTGATTCACCTGGTTCTGAATAGGGAAGGGCATAAATTTGGAATTTGAAAAATCCAGGATGAGGAAAACGTACAACGAAGTAGATTTGAGAATCACGTGTTTGCTGAAGTATCTGAAATTAAAAAATGTTTTTAAGAAAAAAACATTTAAAAGGCAGATCAGTCAGTTTTGTGATAAAATGTTAAACAATAAACACATCAAATTTAATCTGTATAACTGCCTAAAAATTATAGATGGATTTATGCATGCAATCAGAAGATTTCAAGTGGATCAGGTGAGAAAATATACCATGTTAACATGCAAAGTCAAAATGAAGATGCAACCAGCTAGTCGTCAAATATTATATGGTGATCAATAGTGAAATCAGTAAAACAGTAACAGTTTAGTAAACACCTTAAAGCTGACTCTTTTTCTAGAGGTGTTATAAGTAAAATACTACGGAAAAATCGTTTAGTCTCAATCAGTTTACATAAACCAGTTAACTGGTCAGTATAATGAACTAAAAATGACTCAGCTGTATCAAACAGCCCTTTTCTAATGATTGAAACGCTATAAAATGGTTGACAATGTGTGTAGACACCACCTGTAGCGTAGTAGTAGTAACTGATGTGGCAGTCAATTACATTCCTCCATTTTATGGGAAAGTACTTTTCCAGGTGAAATGCCGAAGCCTGATTGGCCATTTCAGCTGTTGTTAGGCTGGACTTTAGAGACAGTCTTGAAATCTAAACCCATCGTTCGAAAGTGAAGCTTTGAGCCTAACGAACAACACTTTGACCGATTCTAAAGGTCACCGTAGCAACAACCGAAATAACCAATCAGATCTATCTTTTAAACAAAAATCTGCCCTTCTAGCCAAAATATAGAAACCTAATTGGTTATTTCGGCTGTTGCTAGGGTGGCCTTTAAAGTCAGTCAGTATTTTGACCACATGCTTAGCAAGTAGTTGTAGTACTCGGAAAATAATTTACTGCTTGTACTTTAAGCTAAATAGTGAAGCCCCTAAATCATATAGAAAAAAACATCTGGAATTTTACTATATAGCTGATAACAAATATGTGGAATATATCCATCATGATATGAAATACTTGGTCCTGATAACGGATTTGAATTTTTTAAACCTGAACAAAACCTTTTCTGTAAAATCTATTTTTGAACAATTACGTTGAAGACAATACGTATGAAGACAATTGAAAAAACACAATAGACCTGAGACCAGTGGCATCTTACCTAAACAGAAAAATTACACAAGTGAATACATGTAAAACCAAATCCGTAAATGTATAGCACAACTTACTTGTTGTGAACAATCTTCAGATACATCATGGCTACAATGTATTAGTTGAGCCATAATTCGTAAAGGTTTTTCAGGATGTCGAGCTAATTGAATGCATAGTTCACCAGTATTGGCTTGAATAAATGGATCTGTATGACTGAGAGCTTTCAAACCCATTGAATCAAAACGTGGCATTGGGCCTAGATAAGTTGGTGCTATAGTAGGCAGGCCACGAACAGGAGAATCACAGTCAGATATAATTATGTATTGCCACACCTAGTTACAGAAACACAATGGATAATTATTTGATTATTCCCGAAAATTAGAATTACAGTACAGCAGCGGAAACAGAAGTAAAAAACATTATTCCTAAAACAGATAGATCTATTTTAGTGCATAACTTATTGAACATATTAGCATCAACACTTTAAAATAAATATGCCAGTTGCTACACTCAATAGTTGAAGTAATAGGAAATCTACAGTTTGCTAAGAGGATTAGACTAATAGAAACCTCAAGGACTCATATCATGTAACAGTCTAACCACTATTAACCTTTTTCAAGCCTAGACCTTTTTCAGCGAAAATTGTGCAACGAGGTAGACGGTTATCATGCATGGTATAACTCGTATCCCAGCCACCTAAGTCTATGAAAGTTCACAACCACATCAACTAACTTACGTCTTCTGCCCGAACCGTACACCTGACTTCCCCCATCCTCTACTATTAATGATCGTTTCACTGCCACACAGTAAGAACAAAGCTAATTGTTGTGCAAGACACTCAGCTTTTAGTAGGCAACTGGATATTATGACGACAGCTCAAATAGCATAATTTGGGAGAAGCCAATCTAAGCTCTTTTCATGTGTGCAGATGCTTCATCAGTCCAGGATCCACCAGGGCAGACATGAGTTTCCAAGTAAGTGAAGGGGCCAATACACTCGATGGTTTCACTTCCTAATGTTAGATGAGGAGTCAACACAAACCAGTCTTTGAGAAACAATTTACATCTGGGTGATGAGAAACGCACCCCAAACATTCTCAAATTGTCACTCAAGGGTATGACGTACACTTTGCATCTTGTCAATGTTTTCATCTAACAGGACTATATCATGTGAATATTCTGAGACGACTAAAGGGATCCCTTTCAGTAAACTTCACTGGTTTTCATGATTTTCCTGCTCAATAAAAATATATGTTCTGATTTTATTAATTTTATGCTTCAAAATGAAAGAAATTCTTATCCTGCTGCATACTTTTCACTCAAATAAAAATAACAAAGAGGACAATTCGTACGAATTTAAAAGTGCATCAATTTATCAGGTAGACAAAAGAAATAAAGGGACGAAGAAAACTAGTTCAATTTTCAACAAGGCTACTTTTCATTACCATCAATCAGTAATATTAACATGTTAACATATTCTAAACCATCTACCTGTGAAAACAAACATCGATTTAAAAAGGTATGCAGAAAAAAAATCGATGTGAAAATGTAAAATTAACTTTACAAAATCCTTTCAGAAAAATCCCCTAAAGAAATCACTAAAATATTTATTTTATGATGATTAGCAATGGAATTCAAAAATAATGGTTCGTTCTATTTGTAACCAGCAATTTAAATTTGCTTACAATTCAGAGAGTTCGAGTTCTTAATGAAGATCAAACTAAGTATATCACTGGAAAATATTTGAAAATTTGATGAGCGATTGTGCTTTCATATTTACTTGACTAGATGGTTGAATGGTGCAAATTTCCTTTCGAATATTAAGTTAGTGATTATATCCAAAATGTAGATAAAGACTTTATCATAGAACCAACCAATACTGCAAACGGTATACTACTTAAAGTTTTTGCCTTTCTTAAAATACATTTATGTTTAATCGTTCAAAGATATATAGTAATAAATCACCGTTTGTACTTACCACAAAGAAAGAATTTCCATCTCTTACGGGGTCATTAGCGTATATTTCCAGACCATATTCTCCAGCTTCCGGTAGAAATAGTGCGAATACAGCTTCTGTGTTTCCATTCACACTTCTCTGTAGTAGACTTTTTGAAAGAGCGTTTTCAGCAACTAGAGTACACTTAAGTTTAGCCATTAAACGTGGAGGTGGATGGCCTTGTACTGAGCCTAAGCTAAAACGAATTTCTAGGCTGCCACGTACAGCGCGCAATGTACAGTCTAGGCGTTGAGCGGTTATTCGATAATTTTTAGCTAACTGGTTAAGATGGTTCGGAAAGAAATAAGAATAAAAATGGAAAGAGAAATATAGCTTTTTTGAAATTAATTGGCACAGCATATGACTAAATAATTACTAAATAGTTAACAGATTATCATAAACAGAAATGCTTTACATTAAAGTGGCACATGAACCTTGGTCTCTGTGATCCTGCGCAAATCATTCAAATTCTCGTCAAGATACCTCAAGAAGTAACCTTCTGTAATGTAGACAACTGCAAAGTGTCAACCATCCTCACATTTGCTAGCAACTAGGTCTCCTTTGATCATCGTCAACCCTAAACATCTTTGCTTTCCAGTCTTTCTTCAAACATCTCTATCAATATCCCTATATCACTTTTAATTTATTTCAGATTTGCAGCCCATGATAACAAATCGAGTTCATGTAAAAGTATCTGTATTCTGTTGAAGCCGCACCCAAAGCTACATGTTAGAGATTTAAACGTACACACCATCCGTCAAATCAGCTAGCTGCACTAGCCAAAACTACGACGACTTGGGCCGTGGCAATATGATTTGTGAGACATGAATACAGTATGCAAATGTGTCCGATACTCATTAGTTGCTCGGAACGTGTACATCACCAACTTTTGCATGATACAAAACTTGTTCCTTACCTAATAGTTTACTTTACGCAGATAATGAGGTCAGCCCAGATTATGATGAGTTAGCGTACTCAATAAATTCAAGCTTATAAGATCTGAACGTATATCTCAGCTTTTCTCTAAAATATTCAAAAGTTGAATACAGCAAAAAGCAAACCATTTTATGAGGTAATTAATTCAAGGTATCTCAGTGCATATTGGTATACAGAATGAACGACAGACAAAAGAAACACTTTGAGTTTGCATAGGACTTTGTCTCAAAATATTACAAATGAGCACGACCATTAGAAATATAAGCACTACTTTTTGCATCAGAAATACTGACACAATATGGAAGCAACTGTTCGTCTTTTAAATTAATTATTCTGTGTAATAAAGAAATCGTAAGTTAGCTGATGTCATATCCAAAAAGCGACATTCAACAAACACAGGCTAACAATGACCCTATAATAACCAGCTGTAATAGGAATAGCAAGATAACACTAAAATACAGATGAATCTTACAAATGTTAAATATAGCACTAGGATATCACTTTAAAAGTCATTCACCAAATAAACGAAAAGTCTTACATATGCTACATATCCGCGGAGGAATTGGTGATCAAACTGAGACTCATTGATTTGTTGTCCTTTGGATTTTCCAGTTTGCGTGTTTTACAATATCAATTATAGAGTATGAATTCACTCTTAGCTAGTGTTTAGGAAACCTCGACTAGTTAACTAGTTTACTGGTTACTAGCCGGTCCTAAGCCGGGATAAAGAGAAGTTTAGGAATAAGGCTAGCAACCCCACCCCGGAAAACCAATCCAATCGCTAAACAAACTTTAAAACACAGAGAAAATAATAGATATAAAAATAGACTTATTCCTCGCTTGAATTGGGGAGACGGAATGACGCCGGTTGGTGAATGCCTTCAGGAAGCCAGTCGGCTGATGTGTCTCCTCCCTCTCGATGAAAGCAAAAGTAAGCATGAGGACTGGAATGTTCACACAATGTTTGAAGCTGCCTGGCTGGCAAGGCTGCCAAGATTGCAAAAAAAGTGAGAAGGTACAGCATAGAAGTGCTAGGAATCTGCGCATGCAATGGAAGTGGACACTCAAAACTGTCAGCGAGAGACTCAAAAATCTACTCGGATGTTATCGCCCAGATGACAACCACGAGCACATTGAGTTTTCAAGTGACTATCATGATATCCCCAACAGCATCGAACGCTCTCATGCAGTGGGAACCAATCTACGTCTGCAGGATCAGCATCATGACAGCAAGATGGATTCAACTCAAAAGGAAGGAAAGTCAAAATCATACAATGCTATGTACCTACAGATAATAAAGGTTGGAAGAAGAAGGGAGAATTCTACAGACAACTGCGATCAGCAATGAATAGACATGGACAACATCAAAATTCTAATGAAGAGGTTGACATGAATGCAAAACTGGGGGCGGACAACATCATCATCATCATCATTATCAACATAGGACCAGGCATTACTGCGTAACGGTCCGAGTTGCCACACCTCATATCAGCACATCAAGTAAAAAGGTAGTGAGGTGAAGGATGAAGATAAGTGAATGCAGTCAAAAGAAATATAAAGTACGAGAAGAAAGGAAAGAGGAGTGACAAAATAGTGAGATTCGGTATAGCGTTGTTAAGATGAGGATAATGTGTGTATACATCTGCGCCACTGACTTCGGTTCTGAGCCATATCACCTAGGGTCTCCAACCACTGGTTCCTCTTGTCCCGTGGACCCCAACCACCTAGTCTGCATCGTCCTACATGGCTTAAACCAACAGTCAGAGACTTCATACATTGGTGCCATGTTTTAGTCTGGCCACCTCGGGCCTTTTTCCAGCCTGAACCCACCTCAGCCAACATTGTGTGACGAGGCAATCGGTGACTAGGCATACGTAGTACGTGTCCCAACCATCTCAGTCGATGAAGGTTCACAACCTCGTCGACTGACTTACCTCTTCTCCCTAAAACTCTACACCTAACTTCTGCATTACTCACATGGTGACACCACGGAATACGTCCTATACTACGAAGGCAACGGTGGTCAAACACCTGAAACCTTTTTGTGTCTTCCACTTTCAATGGCCATGTTTCACAGCCATACAGTAGAACAGAGCGGACTGCTGTGCAGTACACGCGACCCTTAATAGACAAACGAATATCACGGCGGCGCCATAGGTGGCGCAAATTGGCAAAAGCCAATCGAGCCTTTTGTATCCGTGCAGAAATCTCATCGGCAACTAACCCACCGGAGTTGATCCTACTTCCCAGGTAAGTGAAGTGGTCAACACACTCAACCACTTCACTCTCTATTGTTAACCGCGGTACCGCTGAAGACCAGTCCTGGAGCAAAAATTTGCATTTGGGTGGTGAAAATCGCATCCCAAACATTCTCAAATTCCCACTCAAAGTGTTCAGAAGACTCTGCATCTTGTCAGCGTCTTCACCTAACAGGACTATGTCATCTGCATATTCTAGATCTAAGGAAAATTCACCTGTGATCGGTCAACGTCTTTGTAATTAGGTGACGAGAGGGAAACCTCCATAAGAATATCTATGATAAAATTAAATAAGAATGGGGATAGTGGGCATCCTTGACGGACACCACTTGATGAGTATAGCTCCCTGGACAACTCACCATAGGCTCTAACATGCCCACAAGTGTTCGAGTAGAGAGCTTTCAATAAGGTGATGTACTTACTAGGCACGCCTTTCAGTGACAGACACTGCCATAAGACTTCTCGATCAACGGAGTCAAATGCCGCCTTCAGGTCGAGAAATACAGCTATTGTCGGGCGTCTGTAAGCATGCCTATGTTCCAGGACCTGGCGCAGTGTGAATATTTGGTCGATACATCCACGGCCAGGTCTAAAGCCTGCCTGGTTTTCTCGGGCTTGCTGTTCCCGAGCTCCACTCAGGCGTCGGAGAATTATAGAACTTAGGATCTTAGACACTATGTTTGTCAGGCTGATTCCTCTGTGGTTATCACAAGAGGACTTCTCGCCTTTCTTGAAGACTGGGATGATCAGTGACTTAGACCAGTCGGAGGGGATCGTATTTGATTCCCATATACTGGCTAACACTTCCGTTAGCCTGACTAAGAGAACTCTACCACCATTCTTGTATACCTCAGCAGGTAGTCCGTCTGGTCCTGCTGCCCTTCCCCGTTTCAGGCTACCTACCGCTTTCTCAACTTCTTCTAGTGTTGGGGGACCTGTCTCTATGTCCCATTCAGGGTCCGACTGGATAGCGGGCAGCGCAATGGTGGCTGGAGGCCAGTTAAACTGTTCCTCAAAGTGTTCTGCCCATCGTCCCAGTCGCCTTCCCTGCGAGTGAATCGCCGATCCGTCCTTCTCCGCTATAACCTCACTAACTGTTGTTGACCATTTCCCCCCAGTCTCCTTAATAAGTCTAAATAACTGTCTACTGTTACCGATCGCCGCTGCCTTTTCCATCTCTTTAGCCTTTGCTGCCCACCACTGTTCACGATCGTTGCGCAGACTTTTCGTCAGTTTATTTTTAAGTTGCGCTCGCTCTTCATTGTACTCAGAGCCTGCAGGGATGCATTCACGTGCATCCATTAGTTTGGAAGAAGCTGCTGATATCCACTGGCTCTTTTTAGCCATTATCTTGGAGTCGGCTACAGTCTCCAGTGCTGCTTTTACAGTAGACTGAAGATGGCACCAAGCTTCTTCTGGATGAGTGACAGTCTTTTGTTCCGATAACTGCCTAGCCAACTTCTCACTGAACACGGCTTTGGTGTTTTCGTTGTCCAGCAGAACTCGTAGTGGTTTTGTTGCCAAATTTTTTCTACGTCCATTGAGACGCAGGCATATACGTGCTCGGACCAACGCATGATCGCTGTCCAAACACGTACTCCAGAAGGAGCGGCAGTCTTCCACCGATCCTCTCCAGCGATGACTAATAGCAATGTGGTCTATCTGTGTCCATCGCTGAGTCGAGCTCGGTGGACGCCAGGTCAGACAGTGCCTTTCTTTATGTCTGAAATTTGTGCTGGCTAAAAATAGGCGGTTATCTGAGCATAGTTGTAATAGGCGATCACCGTTATCTGTACGTTCAGCTGGGATTCCGAAAGTGCCACCTAAGTGCCTTTCTGCCTCACTCAGTCTACCCACCTGTGCGTTGAGGTCACCTGCAACAACCACTACGTCCGAACGTTTGGCTTTCGAGAGGAGGTTAGACAGTTTATGGTAGAACTCGTCCTTCACTTCATCCGAACTACAGTCAGTGGGTGCGTAAGCAGAGATTACAAAGAGACAACGGCGAGTCTCACTATTCCTTTTAGTTCTCACTGTGCCGTTCAGCCTCATAGCGCAGAGGCGACTATCAACTGGGATCCAGTC